GGGAACGTTTCCACCGAACAGCGCCTTTCTAAGTATTGCAGAAGCAAACGCCGGTGATTATGGAATTCCAGCGGTGTTCGGGAGTTTCAGTGTCCGAAAATAGTTCCATAAACTCGACGACCAAACACTGCTACCTGCGTTCGTGTGTACAAGATGGTCACCACTTCGTTTTCGTTCATAGGAAATGCTGCCACCCATACAAACACTTAGAACACTGCGGTGGAAATTGCTACAAAGTGTCAATTAGGCTTGACAACCTACAGGGTGGTCTCCGGTGCGTGTGAATGTTTGGTTCCTGAACCCCATCATTCAAATACATGAACCAAGGTCTGATACATGGGCCATAGACCTGGGGGCAAGAGGCTGGCAAGCAGGCCCTTCCAAGAACCAGTGGCAAGGTTACTTTTGCCACAGGGTAGGGTTAGGGTTAGGGTATCTCAGGGTAGGGTTACGGTTAGGGTAGGGTTAAGGATAGAGGTAGGGCTAGGGTAAGGGTAGGGGTGCAGTTAGGGTTAGGGTAGGGTTGGGTTTGGGGTAAGGCTAGGGTAGGGTAGGGTTAGGGGTAGGGTTAGAGGTAGGGTTATGGTAGGTTAGGGGTAGGGTAAAGGTAGGGTTAGTGTAGGGTTAGGGGTAGGGGTAATGGAAGGGTTAGGGTAGGGTTGGGGGTAGGGTTGGGGTTAGGGGTAGGGTTAGGTATAGGGTTATGGTATGGTTAGAGTAGGGTTAGAGTAGGGTTGGGGTTAGGGTAGTGTAACCGCTGTGTGGTTCCCTTATTTACCACTATAATGTCTTAAAGCATAGAACTTAGTAGGGCTAACCATACAGATATCTTAGCCATAATTTTATATAGTGTAAGAGATCCTCTATTTAACATATATAAATAATTGAGAATACAATATAAAATAAGGATTGTCTTGGAAGCAAGTTTTGTCTTTTGGATATTTATTATATAAAAATATAAAATCCATTATAGCAGAGTTTATAAGATTAAATTACATGCTTGCAAATATCATTAATAGGTTAACATACCCTTCTGAACATGTCATCATGTCAGCCTCTCTGTCATTTTAAGATGGAGCAGCGTCTGTCTCCAAGTCTCTCCTCTGTGTCTTAACATTTAAAAGTACACCTATTTATACCTTAGGTGTCTCCATTTTAGGTTACTGTAGTTCAAATATGAAAAAGTAACACTTCTTTTACTTTATTCAATTTAGGACCTCCCTTAATTTGGCAAACATACAAGGCCATAACTAAAGGGTGCATACGTCATGGAAATTTTCCTGACTTAGTTCAAGATGGCATCTTAAAGTCTGAATAGGTTATCTGTTGTTTATACTAAGTCGTAAGTGTACAGTCGCGGGAGATTCCAGGATTTGGGGAAGTTCCATTAACTTGGGGTTACCACAGTATATTGTGTACTGCAAGTGTCGTAGAATAGCCTTGAAGCTTGTTTATGCATTATTGTTATTGTAATTCGTCTGGGACAAAATGGCGCAAACATATTATGCACTGAGGTTATTGCTTAAAGAAACAGTTATGAAAAACAATATGTTCCATTTCTAACACCTTGTCAGTTTGCAATATCTCTTAAAGACAAAGTACACAGTTTAAGAAATATAACATTTCATTCTAAAACTTGTAATATTTGCATTTGCCCATAACACCCTCTCCATTAAACTGTGGGCATTGTAGCACATTTCTTCCTTAAATTAGTAAACCAAAGTTCTCCAACTGTCTTTAGGTTTTTTATGCTCCCAGCATCTTAGATCATTGTTGTAACAGTAAAATATCCATAGTGTGATCTTTGCCTGTAAAGGTGGTTGATTAAAATGAGCAAAGCTTTTGTCTGGGAAAGAACTGAAAAGAACACCAGGTTCCAGAGTAAGATATTCTTGGATAGATCCGGATATGAATTGTAATCCAAAGTTAAAAATAGTAATTGTATTTGTAATCCAAAGTCTTAAAGGCCTGTAGAAGTTTACATTCCTTAGATACATTGCTGGAGGTTGTGTTTGTAGAATACCCGGGTATTTGTTATAGAGTATAGGTTGTAGAGTCCAGCTTTCAAAATATTTGGCTAGAATTGGTTGCGGATATTGATCAGCATCATCTGTTATCACCGTGGTGATGGTGTTGGTATTTGTCTTTGTCTTTTTTTTATTTTGTTTTTTTCATGAAACATTTTTTACACCATTTATGATGTGTATAGATTGGATACTCTCCGATATTCTTTTATGGAATCAATTAATTGACAGCATTTTCAAGACATTGTTGTAAATGTTATGTTGATACAGCATTCTAAGTGGATTCTCAAGAACGCCTCTTTTTGCGGTATTGGAATCTTTGTAAAATCTCAGTGATAGACATCTCACTGACATCAGGTGCTGTTGTGCTAAAAATGTTAACAGGTAAAATCTGTGGAAAAATCTTTACATTTGTTATACTTTGTATAATAATGATAGATGAAATAGTAACATAGTTAATCTTTCTAGTGTTTTGTTTTAAAGATAAAAACCATTGTATATGATTTAGATATATAAGGATAATTTGAAGCAGCAAAGTATTTACCACCTTTGTTCACAATGGTATGTAAAATTACATTCTCTTTAAATGTTAAAAATACTCCTTTATTCAAAATCTCTCAATCTATTTAGAATAGTTGCTAATTGGAAATATGACGTTAATTATCTTTCTTTGTCCCATTAGGTAGAAGACAACTTATTCCCTAAGTTATAATTAGTAAATATAATAACTACATTTATTAGTGGCTTAAAATACCAGAAATCCCCAAAAATTTACTTTAAAATCATTTTTTACCAAGATCTGAGAGCCATTGTGGAAAGTTATGTTCGTGAGATTGGATGCTTAACAATGTGAATCTTAATTGTTTAAGTATATTTTTCAGTGGCTGTTGGATGTAGCTTAAGATGATTAGAATTTGTATTATTATTTCTAAAAGTGAGTTAAGAAAGCACTCAGATACAATATTGAATGTATTTATATTTTAACTCTACCTTTGTATAGGTGGTTTATGTACCTTTAACCATTACAAACCAAATTACATTTTCTTTGTATTTGAAAAACTGATAAAATATTTGATTACGTGTATTTTAATATATATACATAGAGTGGTATGGATGTTGAATTTATATCTTTGACATCTTTTCACCAGTTTGCAATAGGTGACCTAAATGATCACTTTCCAAATTCATCATGTATATCACCTGGATGGGTTAATCCCTAATACTCTTTTACTTTCCATTGACTGGCCTTGGCTCTGGCAGACTGAATATTTTATCATTATAAATAAACTTTGTGATAGTTGAAGTAAAGTTTCTGCCTGTCTTTCAGTTAAATTTTAACTGTTGAAGTATTTCACTTATATTAATTATACCACTCTGCAAACTTAAACGAATATAGAGTAGTTTCTGATTTAATAAAAACAATTTATATTTTCTTATAAAGTTTAAACATTATTCATTATTGCAGTTGTTATTGCAATCATATGATCTTTAACTATCATGATTCAATTATTTATAAGGGTAATTAACTGTTATGCTCTTATACTTTGTCTAATATATTTGTTTGTAGGCCAGACTGCAGCTGCATATGGCATTTTAGCAATAATCTTCAATTGCGTTTCAGATATTCACAAAGTCTATCCACTTTTGTAATTAACACATTATGTGTTTCTTATGCCATTAATTATAGTATCTCTATTATATTACACATTGTCACTGACACATTTCTGATACAGGGAAAAAAATAGCATGATTGCTTTAGTAATTATAATTTTCGGTCCATGCACCACATTGCTGGAAGTCCAGAATATAGCAAGAATCCTTTGTCGTTTGATTCTATGGAGCCATTTACCGTTTTGATTGGTATAGTTATACCAAAAGAGCAAGGAGTACATTGGTAGATCACATCTGCAACAGAACCATTACGGATTCCTTGTTGTATCAATGTCTCTGTCTTTATGTTTACAGGAGTTCCTTGCTATGCAGGTATGTACATAATATGTAGAGTTTAAGAAAGGCTGCAAATTGTGCTTTAGTACAAGTGTCCCGTGATGTCAGGTTTCTGACAGGTTTTGCTGGTCTTTTTATATTCCATTCTCTTGTCAGGGCATCTGCTCTTAGTAGGCCGGTATTGTTATTATTTATTAATTGCATCAAGGTTTCTTTCGTTAATTGATGTGTTTCTTCTGAATTCAAATTCATATGCCACCAAATGTCATTGTAAAGTTCAATGTTACAGAATATTGTTCCAGGATGGTTTTTCACTCCAATAGGAAATCTATATTCCTCTTCTTCTGCTCCTTCCTATAAACCACTTTTTCTGAGTTGTAGGCAACAATTTGTGTTGTACTGTGAGGTGCTTTGATAGTCTATCAGGTTTTCTCAGTACCATGTTCCATCTTGAAAAACAGCTGGGTGTTGACAGTTATCAGCCTTTATTTCTTTTTCCGGTCATCTTCTGTCTGGATACATAATTGCAATGTCCAGAATTAGCATAGCACTTCTTTTCAGCATAAGAAGGCTGTTTGCGGTAGTCACTCAATGATAAACTATATGGCAAAGTCTTTTCTTGCATCACCTTCATAGGTGCATCCAAAGTCTTTCACAAACATCTGTCCCATCTTTTTCTGTTTTCAGCATGCTTTGTCATCATTGTTGAGTCCATTATTAGGATTTGTATTAGTCCAATCACATCTTTCTCATGTATAATCGGTTTTTGGAATGATCTCAATAGGTTCCTTGTGAAATACCAGTGTAGTCAATCATTTCACTGTGAGCTGGGTCTCTCCTTATGAGATAGTTCTTGGAGGTAGTCCTCACGATCACAGAACTTGTATAGTGTGCAGTCCAATTCAGTTCAGTTGCTTCCTGCTTGTTAACGTAATCCCAATGCAGCTTTAAAACGACAGCTAGGGTTGATGTTATGATAATGCTGCAGATTGTAAGAAGGAGACTCCAATTTCCTAGCATCCTTTTGCTTCCATCTTTGCATTTCTTTCTTACTGTATAAGATAATTCAGGTTCAGTCTGTTTTCTCCAGAGTCTTTCTTATAATGATGTTGATGATTCATTTTTCATACATTCCATGTTAACTGTGAATGTATCACGTCTGTCTGTTCATCCTTCTCCTTCACATTTGCAGGTTCAGATGTCAGCTCATGATTTAGTCTGTTACGTGGCTATGATTCTGGTGCCTTTTCTGTCGTCCTCTGTTTGTTTTATCTTGTCATCTTTAACAGCATCCATTGTATCAGTCAGTGGTTCTGTGAACGTCCTGGAAGTATTTAGCAGGTTGTAAAATATCAAAACTTACTGTTCTCTGTTGGGTCTGATTGTTCTCTGTAGTAAAAGTTCTCTGTATCACCCTCTCCAGGACAAACTGGCCAACAGAAGGAAATAGGTGGTGGTGCAAGGCGAGATGGGCTGGAAAAAAAAAAATTCCCTAAATTTCTCTAATAGAACCAATGGTTCTAAGCTCTCCCTGGTGCAGAAATATGTTTGTCAGTGAAAGACATGTAACATTTCATATGGTGTCTTACCATTTGTATCATCAGGTATGTTGTGAATGCTCATCTGTACCATAGGAATAAATAGATACCACTGTGTGGGGCAAGCAACTAGTAACTTGGTTAATAATCATTTAACCTCAGCATTTTCCCAGACCACAACCCCACTTCTTTGGGGGTGGTTGGCACACTGAAATCCCAAAGTAACCCAAATGTGGTTGCCCAGTTTTAGGTTTCCTTTGCAGTAACTGCAGGACCACCATCCAAATGGATGGTCCTGGGATTATCAAATGCATACTAAGGAAGTGAGACTAGAAAACGTGGCATCAGAGGTTGCACTTCGCACAGGATATATCCAAGTAAACCTGGTACATGCATCAACACATACAAAAACATATTTATAACCATGAGATGTTGGCAAACTTTCAATATATAGTAATTCAAAAGTATGTTGGATATTAATATTTCAATAAACAATACATCAGTAATGTGGCAATAAGCAAATGCTTATGATTACTAAACACATGAATTACAGTATTTCCCATATTGTGACCACCAATATTCCTTTCAGGAGTCAGAAGTACATTATCTCTCTCTATAAGAGCTTGTCCTAGCCATGAAAAAGCTTTTGGGCAAGTCTATCTTTCATCTATAGGAAGAACAACCAACATATTACCTTCAATGGTTATTATGTAATTAACCCCTCCAAACGATAGGAGTATTTATGCGGATACCAGGTGGATTATTTCTGGATATCCTTGCAAGCATAAACTCTGCATCATGACAGAGAGATAGGGTATGCGATGTGATCCAGTGACCACAGAAAAGCGTTGGTAGACACATTGCATCAAAGTGCCTGTTAATGACCAACTACATGAGGAGAGGACCCATGCTTTGTTATAAGCATGTCCATACACTTATTACAATGCCAGGCTTTCAATTTGTTTCCACAAAGCAAAATGCAGTTGTGGATATAAACTCACGACGTATCGTAAGAAAAACTGTTTGAATACCAGACTGAGATTCGAGATCAGTGAACAGTGGACCAAAATAGATAAATGAAATCCTATCAATTAATATACTTTCAATATACTTTCTTTAAATTACTTTATTCTCCGTATTAACTATGAAATATTAAAGTTAAAACAATAACATTTAAAAGCCAACTTTTAGTGTGGATAGGAATTACAAGGCCGTTCATAATGTGAGATAAAGAACAGCTTTTTTAAAAATACGAATAGTCTGTGAACACAAAATGACCTTGCGCCGAAAATTCACTTGCAGGGGAAAAACAAAACCTTCTTTTTTTCTTTAGTAAGTTAATTAATTAATTAAATGTAGTTAGAACCTCCCTCAAAGACCCGATGACTTTGCAAGAAACATGTCTCCCTAAATACTGGGTAAGTCTATTAAACAGTGACATAGCATTGCTACCCTGTGTATTATGTTGTCACAGCTATAATGTGCAGTATTACAAACTATTTATAAGTGTTGTGCAAACTGTTCATTAAAAGCCAGTGGTCTAGCGAGCTATAGAACATTTATTTTTTAAATCTCTGACCTCAATCGGTAAAGCAATATTTTAATGGTGTCCATTGCAATCTGCTGTCTTACTTGCTGCTCTCAAAAATTCTGAGTATGTTCGGAGATTTCTTGGGCAATAATAAATCCCCAAAAAACAACAACTTTGCATTTATGCTAAACTGCCTGTTGTAAACGTATCCTGTATATTTCTTGACATAAGTACTTGTACTTGAATCTGCTTAACAAAGCTGTTTATATTGTGGTGTAAAATATATTTTTATTATTTATTTTATTTATTTTTTAACATTGCTTAATTTTTAAAGATACCTGCATATTTAATTAAATATCCTTTATATGTCTTTAAGGCATAAAATATCTGCAAATTAAGATTAAATACAAAAATGCATGTTCTGGGTGTTCCCGTGATTCCTTTTCTATCATTTATTTATTTAAAAAAAATTTAAGTCTGGAATCTGATTCCTTTTGGGATGAGCACCCCTCTGAGCCCCCCAGTTTCAGAGGCTTCTTTGGAGGTGACCACTGAAAAGTATAGATTCTACAAAATAGATGTGAGGGGGCATTGGACCTTAATTATACTTTTCATATAGCAGATATGGGATATGCAATGTGTTTTAATATATCAGAGTATTATCACTTTAATTGACACTGCATTTTTTTTATGCATTATTTTTCTTTATGCGTTATTTTTCTTTTTCTTAAATTGTAATGTCTGTTTAGAATATTGCAGGCTTTGCAATATTAAATTAATTTAGCAGTATATATATTCACAATGCTCTTACAACATATTATTAAAATTAGCCTCTTTCAGAATTGTAGAATATGTGGTGGAACTGAATCCCCATATATGAGATTTGAAACTGTATTTTTATTTCTACTCTGTGCCCTAATCAGTATTTATATACATAATTGCAGCAGCATATAGCTTTTAAAGAAGAAATTATTTCACCCTTCATGTGTGGTTGACTGTGGACTTTTTAAAACCTACTCTTTATATTTATTTATTTTAATCCGTTTCTGGCTCTGAGAGAGCAGGCTGCTGAATGCATGTAACTGCTGTTATTGCCTAGTCTATATACTTTTATTTATTTAATCGTATTTTATAAAAACCTAGTTTATGAAATTCACTGAGATTACATGTGTCTGATCTGATTACAGTCAGTAGTACAATATAATTGTTCTAATTTCCTTACTGCTAGTACGGTGGGATAGTACCACTGATTTAAGTAAGCTTTCCCTTTTAAAATTGGTGGACTTTACTGCCATTGCAATAGACTAAAGACTGTACCTAAGTAAGCAAAGTCATTATGTGCAGGAATTGTGCACTTTAAATAGTAGAATACTTATGCTATTCTAGTGAATTGGGCTGGCTGCTTAACACATCATTTAGTATCTTTTGGTCACATTTAAAGCTGTAAATGTATTTAACATTTTATTTAAATAAGCCTTTAATAATTTCTGTTTAAAAGTTATCAGAGATCCTGTCTAGTTACAATTTTATTTTGCCCCGCTTTATCTTACGTATATATTATTTTTAATAATTTTATCAATATTTATTTTCTCAGAGCATTTAGAGAAGCAAAGGATGTATAACCACCTGTTGCCCTTTTTTATAGGAGGGTAGTATAATTTCAACTCTGTTTAGGAAAAAATATGAGCTAGTTAGCATATGTTATATAAAATATATGCTGCAGTGTACTGCATTGAATGTATTTAAAAGCCATGTATTTTTCTTTATGGCTGTATGTAATAATGTTGTTCATAATTTGGAATATAAAACAACGACTTCTCAATTCCTTGGAATGTTTACATGTCTCTATCTCCGCAACCTTGGCTGGAAATTCCAGACTCCAAAAATAGTTATGCTGTTATAATTCCTGATTTTCAATCAACAGCTAGCGTAACTGACAATATGGAAAATATCACTGTTTTCTAAAACCTTTCTTATATAGTGGACATTAGAATCCAGAACGCAGTAATGCAATAATTAAAAATCCTGTCTGTCTGTTGCATGAATGTTTTCATTAAGCCATAATACATTTTTCTTTGCATTCTTGGAATTAGACTTCAAATTTCATCGCTCTGTCTTATCACTTTTCTTTTGAAAACATTTTGCATTAATCTTTTTCCTGCGCATGCATACTAAGCAGCTACAAAGAGAACATATCCCCCTGTCTGCAATCCACTGTCCTGGAATTAATAGGCCATGCTATGCTGGTGTATTAGGCATTTGTTCTATTATGATATTAGTTAAGATCCACAATTTCAGCATTGTATGCTAATTACGTTGTACCTGGCACCTGAACTCACAGTGCTTTGTTCACATTAAAATCATCTCTAATGATCTCTCTCTGAGTCTGGGCTACAAGTAGCTCAATAGATTCTTGATATTTCAAGACTTGTGCCATGACAAAGTACTGTGTCTTCTCTTACGTATAAGAGGTTACCTAGGTATTTATTTTATATTTAAAGCTTCCAAGTACAAAGTCCCTTCGTGGTCGCCAATTGTAACCGCTGGTGGTTCCCTTATTTACCACTATAATGTCTTAAAGCATAGAACTTAGTAGGGCTAGCCATACAGATATCTTAGCCATAATTTTATATAGTGTAAGAGATCCTCTATTTAACATATATAAATAATTGAGAATACAATATAAAATAAGGATTGTCTTGGAAGCAAGATTGTCTTTTGGATATTTATTATATAAAAATATAAAATCCATTATAGCAGAGTTTATAAGATTAAATTACATGCTTGCAAATATCATTAATAGGTTAACATACCCTTCTGAACGTGTCATCATGTCAGCCTCTCTGTCATTTTAAGATGGAGCAGCGTCTGTCTCCAAGTCTCTCCTCTGTGTCTTAACATTTAAAAGTACACCTATTTATACCTTAGGTGTCTCCATTTTGGGGTTATTGTAGTTCTTTTACTTTATTCAATTTAGGACCTCCCTTAATTTGGCAAACATACAAGGCCATAACTAAAGGGTGTATACGTCATGGAAATTTTCCTGACTTAGTTCAAGATGGCATCTTAAAGTCTGAATAGGTTATCTGTTGTTTATACTAAGTCGTAAGTGTACAGTCGTGGGAGATTCCCGGATTTGGGGAAGTTCCATTAACTTGGGGTTACCACAGTATATTGTGTACTGCAAGTGTCGTAGAATAGCCT